AAAATAATACCCTAATACCATGTAGGTAACACAGAAGGACAAAATGAAAAAAGGAAGGGATAAAACAAGTTGGAAGTTGATCAGCTGGTGTTCTCTGTTACCGTTTACATCCATTTACACTTCAATTATTATAGAGTTTATGGTGTACGGGTACACACTGGTAATGTCATCAACAATGATTCACTAAAAACAAGTCTACAATTTTAATGCATAAAAATAATAATAAAAGAAAAGAATGGTATACAGGGAAAAGAGCCCCTGGCTTAGTTAGAAGCAGCAAACCATTTTGATAGCAGGATTGCTCAAAGGATTGACAAAGATTTCCCTCCTGTTCCATTGCACACTTGTGTATTCCGACCCCACTGCAACACTCCGACACTGCACTGGCCGGGACTCGCAAGACAAGCTTGTATCTGGTAGAGGAGCTTGTAACTGAGCTTTGTTTATTTTGTTTATTTATAAAATATTTTACCAGGAAGAATACATTGAGATTTATCTTGTTTTCAAGTATGTCCTGGGTAAGTATCTCTGTTAATATCCCTCCTTTTCCAGCAGGACAACATCAGTGATTACAGCAGCTCACCCAAACATCAGCCTAGACTTGATGAATGGTGAAAACAAAAGATCCTTTATTTGGTTCAAATGTACATATTTACCCCCAGTGGGGGGTCATTAACTGAAACAATGGAGATCCCACCCAGGTGCCACTGTGTCTGGGAGATAACTTGATCAGCCTCCATACAACAAGGTGCCTTAACAGAATTTCCCCTAAGCACACATATAAACATGAAAAAAAAAACATGTGTGGTATCTCTGGATAGCTAGTCCCCAAGCACCCTAACTGTAAAATGTCACCGTGATCCATCACAGAGAGTTTGAGCTACCTCAGATAAAATTTTCATCGGGCTGTTTCAAAGTACATATCCGCTTGGCGGCTCCACAGCGTTTCCAAGTTGGTTTAGGTCTGACGCATGGAACGCTCACAGCCGATCAGTCTGTGTAACTCTGTGGGGCAGGGCAGCCTGGGTTTCTTGGTCGCCCCGTGCCCTCACATAGGCACAGGGTGACAGACATAAGAGGGGACTGTAAAACATATTAAAGAATTCCATTATGAATCTGTCATGGCCACCCCCCCAAACTGAAACTTACCCCGATATGTCCCCATTTTCAGGAGGTCACTGTGACACAAACAAATTAGAACACTAAATCTCTGTATGGGGTCCCAAACATTCTGATGGCAACCCTTCCATGCATTCTAACCACTACAATGTGCCAGGGGTGCACTGATGCCCTCTTACCTAGGCTCCACAGGAACAGGTCCTGGCTCTCAGATTGCACAGGGCTTAGCTCATTGGCAGAGACCAGTTTCAATGTGCCGCTCTCAAAGTTAGATTTGCATACATGCAGACTGCACCGAAATACCCCACACTGCCAGTAACATCACCGTGTAACACCATGCAGTGTACACACATCACCATGTACCACCATGCAATTTACATCCATCACCATGTACCACACTCACCATGTACCGCCATGAAGTGTACACCCATCACCATGTACCGCCATGCAGTGTACATCCATCACCATGTACCGCCATGCAGTGTACACCTATCACCATGTACCGCCATGCAGTGTACACCTGTCACCATGTACCGCCATGCAGTGTACATCCATCATGTACCGCCATGCAGTGTACATCCATCATCATGTACCGCCATGCAGTGTACATACATCACTATGTACCGCCATGCAGTGTACACCTATCACCATGTACTGCCATGCAGTGTACATCCATCACCATGTACCACCATGCAGTGTACATCCATCACCATGTACCGCCATGCAGTGTACACCTATCACCATGTACCGCCATGCAGTGTACACCTGTCACCATGTACCGCCATGCAGTGTACATCCATCATGTACCGCCATGCAGTGTACATACATCATCATGTACCGCCATGCAGTGTACATACATCACTATGTACCGCCATGCAGTGTACACCTATCACCATGTACTGCCATGCAGTGTACATCCATCACCATGTACCACCATGCAGTGTGCGTCCATCACCATTTACCGCCATGCAGTGTACACCTATCACCATGTACCGCCATGCAGTGTACACACATCTCTATCAATTTCCATGTGGTCACCACACACCCTGGATACCTGAATATTTGCATTACTAAAATTACTGATCATCATGTTATATGATAATATGAGTACATAGTCAGAATGCTTTATTACATGAGAGCTGTGTACAGAGGAAGATTTATTGTAACCATGAAACCAGCAGGAACAATTTATTAGTTATCCTAATGCTGTCTCTCTATACAGTTTCTGCCATCCAGGATGAGCAGGCGCTGGGTAGGTCATGGTGGGTGGGTAGGTCACAGTGGGTAGGTCAGTCACAGTGGGCAGGTCATAGTGGGTAGGTGGATCACAGTGGGTAAGTCATGGTAGGTGGGTCACAGTGGGTAGGTAGGTCACAGTGGGTAGGTGGATCACAGCGGGTAGGCAGGCCATAGTGGGTAGGTGGGTCACAGTGGGTAGGTGGGTCACACTGGGTAGGTAGGTGTACACAGTATTAGCAGCACGCTCTCAGCCCTTTGTTTCTTGTCTCGCTGTTGTTTACTGTGTGAGTACAAGCTGTGACGCACTTCCCGAAGCCCCGCCCCCTCCTCTCCCTCCCTCAGTAGGCGCGCGCCTTCTCCCCGCCTCCCATTCTGTGTCGAGCGCGCGCCGACGGCCTTTTCCGTTTTTAAGGCACTTCCGGTGGTGTCCCGCCGTGCTCCGCGCGGCCGGTAACAGGAAGCAGTACGATGTCTGGCTGGGAGCGGGAGGCCACGCGGGCCGGGTCCGGAGACGGGCGGATCTATGTGGGTAACCTGCCCGCCGACGTGCGGGAGAAGGAGCTGGAGGACCTGTTTCACCGCTATGGCCGGATCCGGAGCGTCGAACTGAAAAACCGCGGAGGGAGCAGCGCCGCACCGTTCGCCTTCATCAGTTTCCTGGACCCCCGGTGAGGGAAAGACTCTGGGAGCTAATGGGAGATGTGTGGAGACGGGAGGGGGCCCGGTGGGAATTTGGACAAAGGGGATGGAGAAGGCGGATTGTGACTGGGAGGACTAGGGGAGCGATTGGGATAAATATGGAAACTCTGGATGGTGTGACCGGATACCGGAGCGTGAAATGGAGGAGCGGAGGCAGGCTTGGAGGTCACTAGCTTTATATATTCATTTGAACAGAGTTGTCTTCGCTTTCTGGTGGCCTTGAATCCTAATAATCCGGAGAATGAACCCTTATACAGGAGCCTATTGGAGCCTCGAGGGTCAGTGTTAGAGGGGGACTGGGGGGAGATTAGAATCATTACCTTCCATGGTGGAACGCTGTGTGCAAGGCTGGATCTGTACACTGGGGGCAGTGAATGCGGGGGATCTCTCTCTCTCTGTAAGTCATTGGGTACACTGATATTGCATACAGCTTGAGTGGGAGTCTGGGGGTGGGTAAAGAAAACGTGAGTTTGTACGTTAACGAGCACTTGAATGTGTCCAGGATTAGTCTGTGCTGTAGGCGATGTTGAGTGTGGGTACAAGGCACACACGCACTTGTATGGAGAGTAAAAGGGAATACATGTGCAGCCTGGGTGGTGTACGAGAACAGGGTGTGGGTTAGAGTTGTTGGCCTGTGTTTAGGGGCACTGTGTGTGTGCACATCTTGAATGAGTTATTGCTCACGTACAGTGTGAATAAGGGAATGTGCTGTGAGTAGGCACACCCTGTGCACTTGTTTTGTGGTGTGCAGTCTAAATAAACGGTGTGGGTGGCAATCAGGTAGGTTTGTGCACACTAGCTACGTCTTTAACTCCATCCATGAAATGCCAGTGTTTTGAATGGGTTAATGTGTGTAAACAGAGATGAGGTTCGTATGATGTGAATGGCTGTTGCTTTCTTTATCATCTTTGGACATGGATGACTCTTAATTAACATGTGTTGGTTTTTACTTTGCATTGTTTCCACAACTTATTCCTCTTCAAGGGATGCAGAAGATGCTGTATTTGGACGGAATGGATATGATTTTGGCTCCAGTCGACTGAGGGTGGAGTTCCCACGTTCGTTCCGGGGCTCTGGTGGTGGTGGTGGAGGAGGTGGTGGTGGCGGCGGAGGAGGAGGATATGGAGGGCCTCGTGGAAGAAATGGACCTCCTTCTCGTAGGTCTGAATATAGAGTCCTTGTCTCAGGTAATTTGTGGTGGTTATTCCATTACTTATAAATACTGTAAAATGGACATCTGCGTCTGATAAATCAATGTTATGTAATGGTTTCTGTATCATTCTGTCTCGAATCCCCAGTTTATTGGGTTTTTGTGTACATGCACCTATTATCCAGCTCAAATGCACTGACACTTTGTGAATTGCCATTTTGTTACAGATAAATTGTTATATTTTAAAGGGGCACTATGGTCATGAACAACTACAGCTTAATGTAGTTGTACTTGTGCGTATAGTCGGTCCCTGCAGGCGTTGACATATAAACGCTGCCTTTTCAGACGGCTACTAAAGTGATTCCTTTTATGTTTTGTATTCCTCCCTCTCTCTAGTGCTCCTTTAATTATTTTTTTTAAAAGAATGTAATGGTTTTGGTGGTTTGAATACACATTTTGGCTGCTTTTTCCAGAGGATTGTTCCCAATGATATGACCATCTATTTTATTTATAGCATGGATCTCCCTCACATGTAGAATGATTTAATGACATTTAAAATTGTATCTTGTCTCACATGGGCAGGTTTTTCTCTTTTTATATTTGCATAGGTGTTCTGTGTTTAGCAGAGCAATACGTCTAAAGCACATTGTTACAAGTTAGTCTAGTGACATAACTGTCTGTAAAGTATTATTGATAAGGTAGTATATCCACACTTCATATTAACAGTTGATCTAAACCAGGGCTGTCCAACCTGCGGCCCCCCAGATGTTTCTGAACTACAACTCCCATGATTCCCTGGCTCTTTCATTGAAAGAATCATGGGAGTTGTAGTTCAGCAACATCTGGGGGGCCGCAGGCTGGACAGGCCTGATTTAAACAGTTAAGCTAACCCCACACCCCGTGCCAAAATTGACTTTTGCATCTTATTTTCATCCAATCAGGTCTTCCTCCATCGGGCAGCTGGCAGGATCTGAAAGATCACATGCGAGAAGCTGGGGATGTCTGTTATGCTGATGTACACAAAGATGGAATGGGAATAGTTGAATTCATACGCAAAGAAGACATGGAATATGCATTGCGTAAACTGGATGACACAAAATTCCGGTCTCATGAGGTAAGTAATATTACTGAGCTTTATTATTATTATTATTATTATTATTATTATTATTATTACGCTTTTATCTAGAGAATGGGTATTATTTGATTAACACTCTATTGTCATGCAGGGTGAAACGTCTTACATTAGAGTCTGCCCTGAAAGAAATACCAGCTACTCGCGATCCAGGTCCCGTTCAAGAGGGCGTGATTCTCCCTATCAAAGCCGCCGTTCTCCCCGCTACGCCTCTCCTTTCCGACCGTACTGAGCTGCCACAGGGACACTTTCTATGAATTTATTCTTAAGGCCATCTGCTCTTACATTCCACAACTGATGGATTTCATCAACTGTCTTTTATACCATTATTTTCCCACTTAGATTTTTCTTTTAAGCAGTGTGTATTCTTGGCATCAGATGTATTTTTGAGATTTTGTTTTTAGTTTAGAGTAAGGAAAATGTATATTCTAAGGCAGAAGATATGTGCCTAATGTGGTGTCCTGTGCTTAATTTTGCACAGTGAGTGATAGTTATACTGAGATCAACAGTCCAGTGGAATGTTATGGCACTGGGACAAACAAGTGAATAAATGCTTGTCCTCTAACTACATCTCCCCATCTGTTAGAACAATATTATTTCAAATACCCTTTTAACCCAATTCTCAAATCAAGTTTGTATGTATTTTCCTTTTATTACGAAAGTGTTTCAGTTAAATAAACAAACCATCTGTAGCTGTCCAAATAAATGGAAATTTTGGTCCTTGGATTTTAATCAAGTCTTGTCAAACTTTGTCAAACAGGCACGGTCAAACTTTGTTTCCAGAGGAATATTACCTTTTAAAGAAGAGGGGAGAAACAGCAAATGTCATGTGTTTAAAAACGTACAACATACATGGTACTAACCCCTTCCCCAATGATAGATTAAAAGACTGACTGACAAACAGATTGCTAGTAACTTTGGGATCACTGTTTACTTTTACAATCTGAAAGGATGGGACACTGGAGATGTATTTGCGGTTATTCTCGAAAGTGTTAATTCTCAGGAATTCAAAGTGAATTTCAAACGCTAGGCTACTGTAGACTAATTGCATACAATAAAGTCTGCAACAACTTACACTGTTGTGAATAACCCTGAAAGAGGACGGGGGACTGTTTGCTTGAAGATCTTGTATAAATGTGGTTTTTGGACATGTTGGAATATTGTGATGAATAGTAAGAGATTTAACACTAAGTCATAACTTTCATGGATTTATGGCATCTTGGCTTATCACTCTGTAAAGTTAAGTCTTTAAATACTACATATTTCCAAGTGTAAGCGAGAAAGAAACTATTGCTGGTTGGGTCTTGCATCTAAACGTACTTGTGTTTGAAATGTGTGAAAAAGCGGGGATAAATAAGATCAAGTAAGGGAATAGTACCATAAAAAGAAACTCAAAACGGTACATTAAAGGGGTACTGAAACAGTTTGTAGTGGTTAGGGTTACCATATACACCATGTTATTAGGGTAACATTGGGTATACATATTGATGGGTAGCACATGAAAAGGGTTTACCCTGTGGTATATACAACTCGGGTGTATAAGACTGAAATTAGGGAAAGAAGAATCCTGCAGGATAACCATTTTAATGTCGTCCCCCCGCCCTCAAAATATTTGACAGAATTGTCACTCAAAACATGGTGACTGTGTGTGTATATCTCTCTCTGCAGGTGCAGGGTCCTAAAATCGATATTTAATGGTTAACGGCCATTAAGCACAGATTGAGTCCCCTTGAAACCTGGGCTCTATTGATTAAATCTATGCTATTTTTCCTTATACTATACCAAGTATTTTGGGCAGTGATTTGATGAGTTTTATGATTTACTTGCTCTAGCAATGATGCTTGGTCCTCAGCAATGTGTTCTTTTGTCCTCTGTCTCACTGTAACTTCATGCCACATCATTTAAGGTTCTAGTGGATTAAGCATCACTGCTAAACCGTGCATGAACTATTTACCATTAATGTGGAGCCAGTCTTATTGAAGTAGTTATGGTGCTGACAGTGTTCCTTCAGTATGTACGTTTTGTGAATTAAGAGCATCACTCGCATAAATTGTTTGAAAGACTGGTCAAATTATTTAAAATAGAAGACTGCTAGTAAAAACCAAACATGTTTAATGAACATATTTTTCCACCACAATATTTTCAGATGCAAATGGTGATAGATAAAAATATAAAGTAAAAGGTAGCCAGTAAGTGTTCATCCCATATTTACAATACTTAATTCCACATTAGTGGGGGAAACTGTCTGCTTGTGACCCTCACAATGATTCCATGTATGCAATCATCTTATTGGTGGAATGTCTTTTACAGCTTAGCTGTTCCATTAGGGTTTTAATTCGCTATCGTTTGTAGAGTAAGCAATCCATCAATGTGCGGGAAAAATTAACAATGAACTAAAATACCATTTTACATGGATGTTCATACCTGGAGGTGCTACAAAATATTCTTCTACAACATCGGTGGCGTTTTCAAGTAGACTTTCTGCACAATCTCCACTGGTAACACAGTCTCTTCTGATATACAGCTGCCTGTAGTCAGGAGCAGACATGTATAAAACAAGCTTGAAGAATTAAATGTTGCACATAAAACCCTTTCATAAATAAGAGTACCTGTCTTCGAGAACAGATGCCAAGGGTTCTACGCCATCTGTATTAACATGATGCAGCTGCTTGGCGAATTGGACTGCATTCTCCAGCCGCTGGACACCTTCCTTGTTTCGGAAATCAACCAGTGCCAATCTTTCCAAGTGATCAATCACTTCTACAGCAATGTGAACATCCTGGAGAGAATAGAGGGATCATGTGATAATATAGATTATAACTTTAATCGATAGGACGACTATATATATATATCTCACACAGACATTTACCATTAGCTGTCTGTCCGGCTCAGGCTCCAGATTCCATGTTGGTTTCTGTGGTACCTTCAAATAAGAGAAGCAGTTATTATTATCTGAGTGTTTTGTGTCCCCTCCAGTAATACCTCTGAATTGTCTAGGATGCTGTCAATGCACGGGTATGTTACCAGAAGTGAAATGCAGTTTATCTCACCTTACTCTGAATACATAGAGTCCTACACACACTGTTAACCCGGTGTCGGCACAAAGCTGCAGCTCTCCGCAACATTATTGCCCTTGTCGCTTGTTTGTGACGTCGGTGGCCGAGCTTTATAACGTGACCTTGACGAGTTAATTGAGTCGCCATTTTTAAAGAGGGTGGCTCTAGCTTACGCCCGGCAATGTGCCCTATTCCAAGATGGCGGCCGGAACTCTGCCCCACTAGAAGATGGCCGCCGTGTTTCTTCCCGTCTGTCAAATGGCCGCTGGTTCTCGGTAGAGGTGGTCACGTGGGTTAAGAAGCGCGTTCGCTCGGTGGTATCCTGTCTTCCAACAATATGAACAGCGTGGGGGAGGAGTGCACGGACATGAAGCACGAGTACGACCAGTGTTTCAATCGCTGGTTCGCAGAGAAGTTCCTGAAGGGTGAGGGCAGCGGGGACCCGTGCACGGAGCTCTTCCAACGGTACCGGCTGTGCGTGCAGGTAGGGAGGACCGGGAGCGGACCGGGGGGACCTGGGTATCGGTCGCCGTATCTCCTAACTATCCCTCTCTTCACACAGAAAGCCATAAAGGATAAAGATATCCCCGTGGACGGAGTAGACTTCATGGGGCCAAACAAAGACAAGCCCGGGGCTGAGAGCTCGTCCTGACCCAGTGCGGGCCCCGGTACCGGAATCCGCAGGGCCCCAGACACCGCGTCACCTTCATTCACATGGATGTTAAACTATTTTCTTATAAAATGTCCTCCTGTATGTGATCTGTATCAGACTGCTCTGTGTATCACACCCTTGGTTGGCCGGGTGTTTGGCCATGTATGTGTGGCTGGCGGGGTGTGTTTGGCCATGTATGTGTGGCTGGCGGGGTGTGTTTGGCCATGGATGGATGTGTGGCTGGCGGGGTGTGTTTGGCCATGGATGGATGTGTGGCTGGCGGGGTGTGTTTGGCCATGGATGGATGTGTGGCTGGCGGGGTGTGTTTGGCCATGGATGGATGTGTGGCTGGCGGGGTGTGTTTGGTCATGTATGTATGTGTGTGGCTGGCGGGGTGTGTTTGGTCATGTATGTATGTGTGTGGCTGGCGGGGAGTGTTTGGTCATGTATGTATGTGTGTGGCTGGCGGGGAGTGTTTGGTCATGTATGTATGTGTGTGGCTGGCGGGGAGTGTTTGGTCATGTATGTATGTATGTGGCTGGCGGGGAGTGTTTGGTCATGTATGTATGTATGTGGCTGGCGGGGAGTGTTTGGTCATGTATGTATGTGTGGCTGGCGGGGAGTGTTTGGTCGTGTGTGTATGTGTGTGGTTGGCGGGTATTTTTGGTCATGTATGTATGTGTGTGGTTGGCGGGGTGTGTTTGGTCATGTATGTATGTGTGTGCTGGCGGGGTGTGTTTGGTCATGTATGTATGTGTGTGTGGCTGGCGGGTGTGTTTGGTCATGTATGTATGTGTGTGGCTGGCGGGTGTGTTTGGTCATGTATGTATGTGTGTGGCTGGCGGGTGTGTTTATCGTGTATGTATGTGTGTGGTGGCGGGTGTGTTTGGTCATGTATGTATGTGTGTGTGCTGGCGGGGAGTGTTTGGTCATGTATGTATGTGTGTGGCTGATGTTTGGTCATGTATGTATGTGTGTGGCTGGCGGGGTGTGTGTTGGTCATGTATGTATGTGTGTGGCTGGCGGGGAGTGTTTGGTCATGTATGTATGTGTGTGGCTGGCGGGGAGTGTTTGGTCATGTATGTATGTGTGTGGCTGGCGGGGAGTGTTTGGTCATGTATGTATGTATGTGGCTGGCGGGGAGTGTTTGGTCATGTATGTATGTATGTGGCTGGCGGGGAGTGTTTGGTCATGTATGTATGTGTGGCTGGCGGGGAGTGTTTGGTCGTGTGTGTGTATGGGAGGGGGGAGGGGGTTTGGTCGTTAGGTGAATGCACCCAGCACAGGGTATGTGTCAGGGGATGGCACTTGCTTACATACAAATTTAATCATTTGCACTATTTATCTTTGGGGCACTTACATGTTGGAGTCCCAGGAATGGATATTGTGTAGATATGCATAATGGTCTATATCAGGGGTAGCCAAAGAGGCCTCTCTGCCCTAGCAGGAGTCCCAGTGAAACTTCAGTTATCTGCTAATGTGAAAAGGTGGTGAAGGACAATCCTCAATCTATCCATTGCAGCACGTAGAGGAAGTAAACCCAGATCACTTCTTCCCAGCACTTGTGAATGGAAATCCACACTGGAGTAGAGCAGGTTGCAGCTGCTGTTTGTGCCTGGTCCCCAAGGGAAGCCACTCACACTGCTAGATATACAGAGCTGCAGAATAACTCTCCACTCATTCAAATAATATGAACAGCCAACACACACCCCCCAACAACCCCACATGCAATACCCCAAACAGCTCCACACATACTACCAATGTGCCATTCATCCAAACACACAATTCCATAAACAGCCCCCATACAAAGCCCACATCCATAGGTACTTAATACCACAAACTACTCATGAACATATACAATATAGTAGGACATATACGCACAAATACGATCCAAAGCAACTGCAGTATAAATAACACAAGCACAATACGGCAACATGCACACCTCAAATTAAAAAAATAAGACCGGCACGCTACGGGACTTCACAATCCTATTTCGGCACAGTGCTGCTAGAAGGTTGCATACCCCTGGTCTATATGGTTACTTTTTCCAACCGATTGCATAAACAAGAGTCAGGGTATCTTATTAAACTTTTAAATTGATCTGACATTCATATTGAAGATTTGTTTTTATCACGTTTGGCTCACAGGCAAATAGTTTGTGTTAGTGGGAAGTTATAGTGGTAACCTCATACTGTTTTGTTGTGGTAGGTTTGTCTATCCGGGTATTTTCCCTAAAGTGAGAATTCTGAATAAGAACTGGATAAATAACCCATCTGGATACATATTGTTTAGCGTGCCTACTCTGTCCTTCAATTAGAAATTCACATTGAATTCTCACTTTAGTGAAAAACCCTGTATGTATTTTATTGCCCACCATGGTAGAGATAAGAGACAGATGAAATGTACCTCAACAGGTAAATATTGTAAGGTTGGTTTTCAAATCATTGATAACTATCTTTATTGGGCTAGAAAATGAAGAGATGTGTACATACAAGGAAGTTGCTACCATAAGGTGGCACAGAGGGAAGTGCACTATTGGTGACCGGCAGGAGGGAAGCACACTGTACAGTGGGGTTGAGGGTGCGGCTCGATGAGATTACACGCTAGCAGTAGTGGGGTATAATGAAACAAACGGTAAGGGTAGAGTAGAAAACTAAGGTTGCTAGAATGGTATTCACTGAAGGCTTGAGTGTGGGGATTTTTATGTCCGTTGCAGGAGAAGAATCATGGTGTGGGGAGTGAAAGCAGTTTAATTGATATGCTTTTCTGAAGAAGTGAGTACGCAATGAGATGTATATTTATATTATTTTTATTTTTTTAAAGGACTGGAGACAGAGTAAAAGTCTAACAAAGAACCCTAGGTGCAGCCTTAGAGTTGTCTTGAAGTCGAGTATTAGAGGTGGGACTGCGGGCAGAAGGATAGACTGTCTTCAGCAGCGCATAGGGGCCTAGACAGGACATATTTTTGTATTAGGGAGTGTAGATAGGTTAGAGCATTATTGTGTAGAGTTGTAAACAGTACTGGAATTTAAAAAAAATATCGAATAAGAAGCCAATGCAGGGACAGAGGGAGGAGGTGGGGGAGGTGCTGGTGGACAGGCAGGTGAGCTTCACCGCCACATTCATTATAGACTGTAACGGGGCAAGCGAACTGCAGTTGTCTAGGCGAGAGAAGTTAGTGGTATGGAGCAGGGCAGAAACCTTCTGCTGTAGCAAGGGCAAATGAGCATAGAACAGCAGAGTGGGTGCGGTTGGGGAAAGTATTTGTAGGGGAAGGAAAGAGATGAGAGATCTCTTGTATGATTGTATAAATCTCGGTGAAGTGAGTTGCAAAGGTTGTGGAGGTCAAGTTGGTAGGAGGAGGAGCAATAGGGCAGCGAGAATTAAAAGTGTGAAATAAGCGTTTGGGTTTGCAGGAGAGCATAGTTATGAGATTATTGAAGTAGTGTTTTTTGGTAGAGCAAAAAAAACAAGTCACAAGAGAGTGCTGAGGACGGACAACAGCTCAATCAGCCTGCCTTTCGGTGGATCCCCGCTCAGTTCTCAAGCTGGTTTTAGCTCATCTTGTGCCATTACAGAGAGAACCAGACCATGCATCTCAGACTGATTCCACCCAAAAGAGCAGAACAGATCCAAAATACAGGCCAGCTCGCTCTGCACAAGAGATACAGCAACCCCAGTCGATCATTTCAGCCTTGTTAGGCATCATCAGTGAGGAATAGCTGATACTTAGTGCTTTTTTTGTTTGTTTTTTGCAAAGGAAAGAGCCAAACTGTAAGAGTGCAGCATAACTTTTTTTAGGAGGGCTCAACCATTCTGGAAGACTTCTGGAGGTATCGAGTCAGCTTTGTGTACCGAGGTTGTAATTGGGGGCGCTTGCTGCGTTTAAATGTAAGAGGTGCCATGATGTCTAGTTGAGATGTAAGGGTGGAGTAGTTTAGGAAGGTTGCAGAGTTTGGGCGGGTGAGATGGGTAAAAAAAATGGAGGTTGGGGGAGAATCTCTGTAGGTCAAGATAGTGGAGGGTTCTGTGAGACTGATGTCCTGACGGTGGTGTAATTTGGATTCGGGCATGGAGATATTAAAGATCAGCAAATGGTGGTCTGATAGACGGAATGGAAGATTGGGCAGATTAGAGGCGGAACAGAGATTGGTGAAGATCAATTGGTGGTCAAGAGTGTTTCCCGCTGTATGAGTTGCTGAATTAGACCATTGTGTGAGGCCAAAGGAGGATGTTATAGAGAGCAGACAACTGGCATCAAGACAGTTGGGGTTGTTGATTGGGATATTAAAGTCACCGGGTATAAGGAAAGGAGTTCTAGAGGAGAGGAAGTGGGGTAGCAAAGAGCTAAAAGTGTTTCATGAATAGACTAGGATGAATATATAATATATATGCTCTACGGAATCTGTTGGCGCTATATAAATGGCAATAATAATTTTATATATATATATATACACGCACGCGATCAGGCTTCGTGAGAGAGATGCAAACCATATAGGCTTCTTTAGTTGGAGAAAGCGCCCTGTCAACATTTCCACTGGGTCCTCACTTCAGGCAGGCCTGTTTGGTCAGAACATCCCTGTGGGTCACTACTGGGACGCTGCACAATGCTTGGGCTTATGATAAGAGCTTGCACCCAGCAGTGATGCAATCATGAGCCTCACTGGACCACCATGGGATTTGTATTGGCAGCGTTTACCACCAGGGATTAATAATAATAATAAAATAATGCAATATAAAACTGCTCTTCTCATCACCCACACAGATTACAGGCCACTATCCTACCCCACAAATTTACACACATACAGAAACTGAATCACTCACTTACACTACATCTGTTATAAACCTTGTGTCCACTGTACACACGTTGAATTTCTTACACGCACATCTCCTATACACATAAAGAGTGTTTTAAAACAGTAAAATGTGTAATGATGGTGATATCATCCGTGAAAGAACAGTTTTTGTGTGATGTAAAAAAAATATCAATGCTAACTTTGTTACTTAGGTTTTGTGACTAAGTGGCTATTAAAAAAAAAAGACTGGACATAACCCAGGGTATTCAAAATGGGGTTACTACTTTTGCAAATGGTATGCTAAGGTGGGGTTACTTTTCATTCCTGGGCAGCCATACGGTCTCAAAAGCAACATAGGCCCAGCAAACCAATCTGGCAAATTTCAATGTGTAAAAACTAAAAAGCGGAAAGCCCTATATTTAACCCTGTAAATTTATAAAACCTGTACATGAGGGTTACTGTTGTACTCGTGAGACCTCACTGAACACAAATATGTGTAATTTACTGCAGTGAAAGCCAACAGTATTTTGACATTCACAGTTAAAATGACATGCAGAATTAAGAAAATAACATTTGATTTCTCAAACTGTTTTAGATTGTATTAATATTAACCCCTTCAGGACGGAGTCAATAGTGCACGTTCTGATCAAAACAAAACGTAAACAAAAACTGGAATTTGCGCTGTATGTCTGTTCAACCGTAATTCACCGCTGTCACATTAAGTGCATCCACACTTATTATATATCATTTTGTTCAGGAGAAACAGGGCTTTAATTTATCATGAAGTATTCATATATGGAACATAATTTATTAAGTGTTCTTGCATAGCAAGACCACTTATTGTTATCTCACATATATATATTATTATTATTAAGTGGTCTTGCATAGCAAGACCACTTATTGTTATCTCACATATATATTATTATTATTATTATAGCCAAAATACAACCGTTTGAAGATGGCAACCGCCAAAATACTCTGACCTGTGCCAGGCTGCAGCAGCAAGTCATGTCATAGACAGGGCCTTTTGAACACCTGCTAATGTTTTTATAAATGTATGGTTTAATGTAACTGTGCAACAACGTTGCAATTAAATGTGCCATATAAATGATAACAGTTACTCCGCCCACTCCAGTTGTAGACTACTGGTGGAGGCAAGAACACTTCACACAATTTCCCCAGAAATTGTAGCTTTTCTAGTTCTTATTCTTATTCTTATTCTTATTATAGCCAAATTTGCCACCCTAACTCCTCCCACAGTTTTTACACTACATAGACCAAAATTTACCAAAACGCGCAGATTGTTCCCGATCGGATTGCTATTACTTTGTGGAACGTTTCGCCGAATGGTTCACGGAATATCGTCGTTTTTGTGGCGCAATTTGTCCCATAGGAATAAATGGCAAAGCTAGAGTGGGAGCTGCCAAAAGCTGAAAAATCAGGACATGATTTCTAAACTGCCACCACTCCCTTATTTTCAGGCCCACCTACACAAATCTTATATCAAAATGTTCAGCTATCCCTGATGCCACTAAACATGTCAACGGCTAAGCCATAGTCCTGATAGTTTTCACAATATAATCATTTGTTTGCAACTAACACCGTCCATTGACATTCATTGAAACTTCACTCTACAAAGCTCAAATTTGAAGTGCAATTTCTAAACTGCGACTGTGCCTTCATTTTTAATACTTCAGAGACATACTATGCATCAAAATGTAGGTCTGGGTCTTGTGATTCACAATATAAAGCTCTTCGCTGTAGGATTTATAGTTTTTAAAATACGACCGTTTGAAGATGGCAACCGCCAAAATACTCTGACCTGTGCAAGGCTGCAGCAGCAAGTGATGTCATAGACAGGGCCTTTTGAACACCTGCTAATGTTTTTATAAATGTATGGTTTAATGTAACTGTGCAACAACGTTGCAATTAAATGTGCTATATAAATGATAACAGTTGCTCCGCCCACTCCAGTTGTAGACTACTGGTGAAGGCAAGAACACTTCACACAATTTCCCCAGAAATTGTAGCTTTTCTAGTTATGAATAAAATTTAAAAAAATGTGAGAAAAGGTTTGTTTTTTTTTGGTTTGTTTTTTAATTTGTATTTCCGTCTGACATTTTAGCTGTGAGTGTCATAATACTGTTAGGTTTTATTGCAAAAAAAATGCACATATTTGTAATCGGCGATGTCTCACGAGTACAACAGTACCCCCAATTAACAGGTTTTATGGTGTTTTGGAAAGTTACAGGGTCAAATATAGAACATTCCATTTTCAAATTGAAATTTGCCAGATTAGTAATGTTACCTTTGAGACTGTGTGGTAGCCCAGGATCAAGAATTACCCCCATAATGGCATACCATTTGAAAAAGTAGACAACCCAAGGTATTGAAAGTGGGGTATGTTTAGTCTTTTTTAGTAGTCACAAACACTGGCCAAAGTTGGCGTTCATATTTGTTTTTGTGTGAAAAGAGCAAAAAACTAATATTTGGCCAGTGTTTGTGACTAAGTGGCTACTAAGACTGGACATACCCCACTTGCAATACCTTGGGTTGTCTACTTTTGCAAATGGTATGTCATCATGGGGGTAATTCTCATTCCTGGGCTACCATTCGCTCTCAAAGGCAACATAACCAATCTGGCAGATTTCAATGTCAAAAAAATGAAATGCAAGCCTTATATGTAACTCTCTAATTTTCCAAAACACCACAAAACCTGTACATGGGGGGTACTGTTATTCTCGGGAGAACTAAACACAAATATTAGTGTTTTAAAACAGTAAAACATATTACAACAATAATATGAAAAGGTCCCATAAAAAGTTACCCGGATTCACCGTTTTGCCAAAACTTTACCAAAATGTCACTTTTACTTAAAATATCATCGTTGTAATACAATTTATCATTTTGAAACACTAATATTTGAGTTCAGCAAAGTCTTCCGAGTAAAACAGTACCCCCTATGTACAGGTTTTATGGTGTCTTGGAGAGTTACAGGGTCAAATATGGTGCTTGCAAATTAAATTCTCTGCACTTTCTCCCTGTGTTGTCAGGCATGTCAATCAAATTTTAATGAATCAAATCACATAATTATGTTAAAAGATTACTTAAATATACACGTAGAATTTTAATATATATGCATTTATAGGTATTTAAATTCTACGTGTATACTAATGTAATCTTTTATGTAATTATATGTATTTATTTATATATATATATTTGCGGTTATTTGTATTTTATATATAGATACATATTTATAGAATGTCATTCTAAGTATATTTTGTTACCAATATATATATATTAATAACAAAATACAGTTAGAATGAAATTACATATGAATATATAATTTATATTACATTTTGTTTCAATATTTTATTTATTTATTTTATTATTTTATTTATTATTGTAATTATACGTATATATACATATATATATAATATATATACATATTATATATATGTAATGTCATTCTAAGTGTATTTTAATACTAATATATATATTTATATTAATATTAAAATACATTACGTATGACGTTGCATATATATAAAAAGTATATATATTATATATATAATAGATATACATCCATTATATATAAAAATGCACTTATTTTATTTTAACATGTTTAATATTTTTTTTTTTTTACACTTCCCACCAGCAAGAGGACTACCTGATATTTCAGACAGCCCCCCTGCTGGCAGATCCACAGCCAGCTATAAGGGGCCATGTGATCGCTATTTGAGAGCGATCACATGCCGGGGGAGGGCTGCCCGGGCTGTCAGGCAGGTCTCCAGGAGAAGATCGCGGCGGAGGTGAGTACCGCCGAGGTCCTGGGGGCTTCAGCCGTTACGGCATTCTATGCCGCCGCAACGGCTTTAAAGGCCATTAAATGCGGGATGGCATAGAACGCCATAACGGCGTTAAGGGGATAAACACTCCCTAAACTTAAACACTTCCTAACCCTAAACACTCCGTAACCCTACACAATCGGTAACCCTAAACAATCCCTAACCCTAAACACTCCCTAACCTTAAACACTCTCTAACCATAAACAATCCCTAACCCTAAACACTCCCTAACCCTAAACACCCCCTAACCCTAAACACTCCCTAACCCTAAACACCCCCTAACCATAAACATTCCCTAACCATAAACACGCCCTAACCATAAACACGCCCTAACCATAACCACCATCTAACCCTAAACACTCCCTAACCCTAAACATTCCCTAACCCCAAACACTCCCTAACCCTAAACACACCCTAACCCTAAACACACCCTAACCCTAAACACACCCTAACCATAAACATTCCCTAACCATTAACAATCCCTAACCCTAAACACTCCCTAACCCTAAACACCCCCTAACCCTAAACACTCCCTAACCCTAAACACTCCCTAACCCTAAACACCCCCTAACCCTAAACACTCCCTAACCCTAAACACCCCCTAACCATAAACATTCCCTAACCATAAACACACCCTAACCATAAACACCATCTAACCCTAAACACTCCCTAACCCTAAACATTCCCTAACCCCAAACACTCCCTAACCCTAAACACACCCTAACCCTAAACACTCCCTAACCATAAACATTCCCTAACCATTAACAATCCCTAACCCTAAACACTCCCTAACCCTAAACACCCCCTAACCCTAAACACTCCCTAACCCTAAACACCCCCTAACCCTAAACACTCCCTAACCCTAAACACCCCCTAACCATAAACATTCCCTAACCATTAACACTCCCTAACCATAAACACGCCCTAACCATAACCACCATCTAACCCTAAACACTCCCTAACCCTAAACACTCCCTAACCCTAAACACTCCCTAACCCTAAACATTCCCTAACCCCAAACACTCCCTAACCCTAAACACACCCTAACCATAAACATTCCCTAACCATTAACACTCCCTAACCATAAACACGCCCTAACCATAAACACGCCCTAACCATAAACACTCCCTAACCATTAACACTCCCTAACCATTAAAGGACCACTCTAGGCACCCAGACCACTTCAGCTTAATGAAGTGGTCTGGGTGCCAGGTCCTTCTAGGCTTAACCCATTTTTTCATAATTACGCAGCAGTTTCAGAGAATACTGCCAGTATATGATTAACCTTCCCTCTAGTGGCTGAAATATATTTGACGGCCACTGAAGCGCTTTCTTGCGTCTTCTCACTGTTTTCACGGTGAGCCATAGTCCATAGAAAACACATTAGCAAATGCTTTCACCACAATAAAACAGGAAGCTGAATCTTGTAGCAGCTCTTGCCAGCGCATCATTCAACCCGGCCCGGGGAGGAGGATCCAGGAGGGAGGAGAGAGCTCTCCGCCCAGCTGAAAAAGGTAAGTTGTACCTTTCCCCTTCCAGAGCGAGGCGGAGGGGTCCTGAGGTGAGAACCCTCAGAGGCACTATAGTGCCAGGAAAAGCGGTAACTGCAGCATGAAACAGTCCTTTAACTGCGCCTAACCGCAACCACCATCTAACTAAACGCGCCTAACCTAAACTTCAACCTAAACACTCCTAACCTAAACACCCTAACCATAAACACTCCCAGCACCATTAACGCCTAACCATAAACGCGCCCTAACCATAACCATCTAACCTAACACTCCCTAACCATAAACACCCCCATAACAACCACCATCCCAACCTAAACACTCTAACCCTAAACAGCCCTAACCCTAAACACTCCCTATCCAGCACCCCTAACCATAAACACTAACAATAAACACTCCCTAACCATTGTACTCCCTAACCCTAAACAGCTAACCTAAACAATCCCTAACCCCTAAACGCTCCCGAACCTAAACACTAACTTCGCTAACCTAAGCACTAACCATAAGCTTATTCCCTAACCATTAACACTCTAACCATAAACTTGTACCTAGCCATAACCACCATCTAACCTAAACACTCCCTAACCTAAGCCTCCCCTAACCCTAAACACTCCCTAACCCTAAACACTTCCTAACCTTAAACACTCTCTAACCATAAACAATCCCTAACCCTAAACACCCCCTAACCCTAAACATTCCCTAACCCTAAACATTCCCTAACCATAAACACGCCCTAACCATAACCACCATCTAACCCTAAACACGCCCTAACCCTAAACACGCCCTAACCCTAAACACTCCCTAACCCTAAACACTCCCTAACCCTAAACACCCCCTAACCATAAACACTCCCTAACCATTAACACTCCCTAACCATAAACACGCCCTAACCATAACCACCATCTAACCCTAAACACTCCCTAACCCTAAACACTCCCTAACCATAAACATTCCCTAACCCCAAACACTCGCTAACCCCAAACACTCCCTAACCCTAAACATGCCCTAACCCTAAACACTCCCTAACCCCAAACACTCCCTAACCATAAACATGCCCTAACCCCAAACATGCCCTAACCCTAAACACTCCCTAACCTTAAACACTCCCTAACCCTAAGCACTCCCTAACCCTAGACCAGGCATAGGCAACCTTCGGCATTCCAGACGTTTTGGACTACACATCCCATGATGCTTTGCCGGTTATGGGAGATGTAGTCCACAACATCTGGAGTGCCGAAGGTTGCCTATCCCTGGACAGTCCGAACTCTAAAAAACATCAAAGTCCTCAATTCCACATACCCTCACACTAGGCCCCCTAAGTCTAACTTTCCCCTTACATTGACCTTCTTTGCTTTAACGCCTTCCTTTTCCCGAATTTTAACACCTTGTTTTGGCTGCAACAGTTTAAAAGCAAACCTTTATGCTCTAGGAGTTTCTGTCAGGTTTTGCTTCACACTGCACAGAATCAGGCTTTTTCAGTCACCTCTACACAAACCCAGAGCGTTATGACATTGTGGATGGTCCATGTACACACATTATGGGATGGGTGTGTAACCAAAGGTTCTGCCTGGCTGTGTAAATATGACCTTTCACATCAACCATGTTGTTATCATTGTGGGTGAATAGATCAACTGTCATTCATTTCGTAACCCTGAAATATTTTATGTTGGAATAAGCGACACATTGCATTGAGACTGCATGTTGGCACGACTTTCTACAAACTCACCTGCAGTCAAGCAGCTCACTCCTGCACTTTGATGATTGCTTTTTGAATCCTCTTCAGTCCACATGCCCAGCAAACACTGAGCAAGGTCATCCTCAGTCCCTGTACAGACTGCTTTCTGCAGAAATGGGCCAGAGCCAGGGCCAAATGGATCACCTTTCAGGATTTCCAAGACAGGCCCACAGTTCAGTTGTCTGCAGATGACTGAGGCACTCGTCCTGTCCCACAATTCGTCACTCAGCCAGCCCCACGTATCTTTGTAAAACACCTCGATTCTTCCCTTACAGGTCCCTCCGCCATTCACCAACCTAAACTGGGAAAAAACTAAGGGAGACATAATGTTGGCACGATCTCACACTGTTACACATGGTTAGAGTTATAATCACACACGTCGTACCTATTACACACTGTTACAGATAAAATCACATACATATTACAGATATAATCTCACATTGTGTAAACATTAAAGAAGATTACAGTTGTAGCGGGACCTGGGTAACCTGGCTTGTTATCCCCTTTGGTTAGAGTAGGTCAGACCCATTTCCCCAGTAACAGGACGGGACACAGTTCTAGGATACAACATTTGACAATGTTTATTGGGCATACAGCTTTTTATGCACAGACCCCCACAGGGGGTCTCCATCCAGCACAGCACACACACACATACAGGAGGGGGGCTGGGGAACTGATAACCATCTCCTGCTCTGGGAGATACTAACAGGACACAGGGACACGCATGAGTACACTTCACATACAGGGGGGTAAACTTTGGGGCTCGGCGCTTCTGGACGGGAAGGGGGTACAGGGTTACTTTTATATGGGGGAATAGCCCTGGGTCCCATCTGGGACCCCTGCAAAAAGT